CTCCCCAAGTTGCCCAGGCGGGTCTCGAACCCGCGGGCTCAGGCAATCCACTCGCCTCAGCCTCCCAAAGCGCGGGATCACAGTCTGAGCCACTGAGGCCGGCTTCGAAGCACTTCTGAGGCAGTCAGAGTACACTGGGGCTGAGACCAGGCGGAAGCACAGGCAACGGCAAGCGAGAGTCCATGTGCTCCCCCAGGACCCCCATGCCCACCCTGATGCTGGTGTCAGGCAAGAACCCCTCTTTGAGTGAACCCAGCAGCAGAGGGCAGCCTGTTTGAAACACGGCACACTTCCAGGTAAAGAATAAGTGAATGACCCAGCTTGGAGTTCGTTTTCCAACATGCTGTGGCTTTTTTTTTTTGCTGCTAGCTGGTTTTCCCAGAGTTTTCCATCTTCCTGTCGCTGACTCACCGCAGCTTGTAAGTTTCACGGCTCCGCCCACAGTCTGTGCTCAAAGGGCAGCCTGAACCGCAGGGTTCTGGCTCTGCCCAGCCCGCGGGCCAACCTGCCTAAACCAGTGCTAGCACAGGCCATGTCTAAACGTGTCTCTGAAGTTCATGCGCTGAAAACAGTCCCTAACACGACAGCACTGACAGGTGGGAAAGGAGGGGCATGGAGTCAGGAAAGCCCCGTCATGATCATGGAGACGAGCTCCTTACGGAAGGATGAGGCTGGGCCCTTGCTCTCGTCCTTCTGCCATGGGACGACACAGCACGAGGCCCTCCCCAGACACTGGCGCCACATCTAGACTTCCCAGCGTCAGAACCATGAGCCAAATAAAGTCCGTTTCTTTTTTTTGAGTCGGAGTCTCACTCTGTCGCCAAGGCTGGAGTGCAGTGGCACACGCTCACAGCCACTGCAGCCTCCACCTGCTGGGCTCCGGCGATCCTTCCACCTCAGCCTTCCAAGTAGCTGGAACCACAGGCATGTGCGCCACTACACTCGGTGAATTTTTTGACTTACTGTAGGGATAAGGTCTCACCAAGTTGTCCAGGCTGGTCTCGAACCCCGGGACTCAGGCAATCCTCTCACCTCCGCTTCCCAAAGTGCTGGGATTAGAGGTGTGAGCCACCGTGTCCAGCAACTTCATTTCTTTGTAAGTTACTCAGTCTGTGACACTCGGTGGCAGCAACACCAAACAACTGAGACGGCACCCGACCAAAGGGCAGCCAGGCCACAGCTGGCCACAGGGTCCCCTGCGTGGCTTGGGAAGCCAAGTGTGGCCAATGTGGTGCCCCCTCAGGAACCTGGGCCAACTAGGGCCAGAGCAGACAGGCAGGGAGCTGAGGCTGGAGGCGTGCTGGGCAGAGTCCAGGCCAGGGTGAGCACCAGGCAGCAGCGAGTGTGAGCAGAAAGAGGGACAGAAAGCCAGGAGGGCAAGGGCCGAGAGAGAGAAGCTCCACAGAGCGGAGAGAGAGAATGGGCTGGCACCAGAGCAGACTGGCAGCTGACGTCCCAGGACTGACATGGAGAGGAAAGCTGGTCCCCTGGCTGCCCAGGCTCTGATGGCCTCCAGTGCCTGGCTCCTACCAAATCAGGCTGAGCAGGTGCCGCCTATGGACTCCTGTGGGTCCTAGACTTGTGCCCCGAGAATGAAGCCTGCTCCTCGTGACAGAGCCAGACGAGTGCCAAGCCTCACACTGGGACGACAGGCACATGCTGTCCCTCCTCCCATCTCAAGTGGCCAGGGCTGCCCCCTGCCATGCACCTTCTCACGAACCACAGAGGAGGCCACCAGTCAGGTACCTTGGGACAGGTCCTTGTGCAGTTCATGATGGTGTGGCAGCGGTACAGAGAGAACGGGTCCTGCAGCTTGGCCAGTCGCTCCTCGGTGAAGTCATCCCTGGAGTCGATCATCCAGCGATAGGCCTGGGAGACCAGGGACTGCTTAGCTCAGCGGTCAGCTTGACAGGCCAGAGCTACACCCAGGCCCAATGTCCAGCTCTGGGAGTGCAGAGGCTCAGATGACCCATCTCTACACTCTCGAATGCCTGCCTATCTTTCCTGGGAAGGCTCCCTGCTCTCATAACTCTGCTTGGCCTTTGATCCACGCTACACCTCATCCCCTGGTGCTCAACGGTACACTACTGGGATAGTCTCATAGCTAGTTCATTCTGCTCCATGGCTTCCTCTCCAGCGTGAGTTCACGAAGGCAGGCACTGGATCAAACAACTCTATTTTCACAACCCCTACCCATGCTGGACTCTGTCTGAGTAAACTGACGATTTCACACATCTGTGTGAGATCTATTTGTCCCATTCATTGATTCTTTTAATTCATATATCCGCCTCAGCAGCCTGGGAATCAGCAAGCTGAAACTTACAAACCAAATGGTCACAGGCCTGCTCGAGCAGTGTGACCCTGAGGACCAACACTTTCCTACAACTCGGCCCATCTGGTCCAAGTGACCAGCACAAGTGGACCTCATTATTCAGTCTTTCCGTGGCTGGGAACCAATGTGGTCGCCAACCACGGAACTTCTCTTTTTGTGGGAAAATGAGAAGTTGTCTTTTGAGTTGCTCAGAGTCTGTGAAAAGCATGGACCACAAATCTAAAAAGCACATGATTTTGGGGAACAAAGAGAGTGACCTTCTTGGCATGCACACCAGCATGACTTTCTAAGCAACCCGTCAGCCCAGGTTTTCATTAGTCTGGAACCAACTCCCAACCTGCAGCTGGTCACTGCCCCCCAAAGTTGTTTCTTTCTCTCCTGCTTGCACATGACAAACCCCCGAGGGAGGCACACAGGGAGCCTCTGACAGACGCAGGTAAGTGGGCACGTCACAGCCAGCTGCACAGGAAATACATTTTAAACATCTGCAAGGCATGGTTTACCAAAAGGGGCACCCTCACCACCCTGAAACAAAGGCAGTTTGCAGATGAAGCCCAGATGTCCTGAAAGCGAGCAAACATAGTGCAACCAGTTACACTGTTGATACCAGATGCCCATGAGGGAAAGCCCCTGCCCCTCAGTGCGGTTGGCTCACAGCCATCACTGTCCTCTTGCGATGCTCGAGTTCAGTTTCTCTTAGAGCCACGAGGAGCACCTCACCTGCATCAGAACCGCAGGTCCCAGGTACTTGTCCCCGTTCCACCAGTAGCTGGGGCAGCTGGTGCTACAGCAGGCGCAGAGGATGCACTCGTAGAGCCCGTCCTGTGTGGGGAGAAGTGAGGTGGGGAGCACGTGAGGGAAGAGGCATGCTCATGTCTTCTGCCGAGGAAATGTCACGTTTAGTGTCAGCGCAGGAACGAAGTGCTCGTGTGTATGTGCCTTTTCTTGGAAAAATCCAAGGAGTGGTTTGCAGACATTTGGCAGATTCATAAAAAAGACTTTTTAAGGGCTGGGCATAGTGGCTCCTATAATTCCAGTACTTTGGGAGGCCAAGGCAGGAGGATTGCTTGAGCCCAGGAATTCAAGACCAGCCTAGGCAACATAGTGTGACCTCGTTTCTATAAAAAACAAAAACAAAAACAAAATTAGGCACACATGGTGGTGCACACCTGTAGTCCTAGCTACTTGCAAGGTTGAGGTGGGAAGCTCATTTGAGCCCAGGAGTTTGAGGCTGCGGTGAGATGTGACTGCCCCACTGCATTCCAGCCTGGGTGACAGAGTGAGACCCAACACAAACAAAAGATCCTATAAGTGAAATATGAACAGTTGCTGGCATAGAGTCCAGGGTTCTTAAATCCAAGTACAATGCACTTATCCCTTAACAAACAATAATCCCTCATTCATCTAAAAAATCAATCAAAATGAAAACAGCTTACATGAATTCCAACTAACTGGAATGCAGCAGAGAGGGGAGACACGTAAGGGTGCTGGGCTGGAGCAGCAGGGTACTCTCTACCCGCGCCTGCCTTGGCTCAGCAGAGGAAACCTCAGGTTTTCACTGGGAACCCCAGCATCAGCCCAAATCCTTGCCAGCCATGACTGAGTGCCTTGTGTTTTGAACGCTTTGCCTTATCCGGTCATCACAGTAACCCTGTGGGGTGAAGATTAGCCGTTCCTACCCACAGGTCCACAGGTAAGGAACTGAGGCCCGAGGGGTCAGTCAGGTCCCAAATTCTACCACCAAAAGATTGCCGGCACAGACCCCACAGGCAGCAGAGCCGGCAATCTTTTGGTGGTAGAATTATAGATTGTTATTATTATTATTATTATTATTTTTGAGTTGGAGTCTCACTCTGTCACCCAGACTGGAGTGCAGTGGCCACTCCCGGCCACCGCAGCCTCGACCTGCTGGCTCTGGTGATCCTTCCGTCTCAGCCTTCCGTGTAGCCGGAATTACAGGCGCGCGCCACCATGCCTGGCTAATTCTTTGATTTACTGAGGAGACATGGTCTTGCCATGTTGCTCAGGCTGTTCTTGAACTCCTGGGCTCAGGAAATTCTCCCAACTCAATCTCCCAAAGTGCTGGGATTACAGGTGTGAGCCACTGTGCCTGGCCTAAATGAGTAAATTTCTATTACAGGTAGAGCACCACAAATCTGAAAATCTTAAACATAAAATTATGCAAAATCAGAGTAGGAAAAATTATCAAAGTTTTTGAGCACTGATATGACACTCAAAGCAAATACCCACTGGAGCATGGATTTTGGATTTTTGGATGCTCAATCGGTAAATGTAATGCAAATATTCCAAACTCCAAAAAAACGTGAAAACCAGAACAATTGTAGTGCCAAGCATTTTGGATAAAGGATACTCAGCTTGTATCTGCAGGGAGCCCTTCATTCCCTAGCAATACACACCACAGAGATGGTAACAAGTCATGCCGCACTTGCCTCACCAAGGGTTAAGACTAGCTGGGCCAAGATGGGCCGCATCTGACATGGACTCTGGGAGTTAGAAATGGAGGAGCAGAGCAGTGTCCTGAGAACAAGGACCTCTGGAGACAGATGCGTGCTCTGACTTGCAGCATTGCTGCATGACCTCTCATCATGGCGATGATGACACACTGCGCCGCAGACTCACTGGGACGCTCTGTTCTTTTTTCTTTTTTTAGTTGGAGTCTCACTCTGTTGCCCAGACTGGAGTGCAGTGACTGCTCCCAGCCACCGCAGCCTTGACCTGCTGGGCTCCGGCGATCCTTCCGCCTCAGCCTTCCAAGCAGCTGGAACTACAGGAGTACGCTACCACGTCCGGCTAATTTTTTTGATTTATTGTAGAGATGAGGTCTTGCCAAGTTGCCCAGGCGGGTCTCGAACCTGTGGGCTCAGGCAATCCACTCACCTCGGCCTCCCAAGGCGTGGGATTACAGGCTGAACCACCGAACCCGGCCGATACCCTGTTCTTAATGCTTTATGGGAAGGGGAGAGGAGGCTGAAATTCACCAAGGTCTGAGGCAGAATTCATTCATTCGTTCACACAAATAGTTTTCATATTTTCTTTCCTTTTTATTTTTTTTGAGTTGGAGTCTCCCTCTGTCGCCCAGACTGGAGTGCAGTAGCCGCTCCTGGCCACAGCAGCCTTGACCTGCTGGGCTCCGGTGATCCTTCTGCCTCAGCCTTCCAAGTAGCCGGAATTATAGGCATGCGCTACCACGCCCAGCTGATTTTTTGATTTATTGTAGAGATGAAGTCTTGCTGCCCAGGTGGGTCTCGAACCCGCGGGCTCAGGCAATCCACTCACCTCAGCCTCCCAAAGGCGCAGGATTACAGGCTGAGCCACCAAACCCGGCTCCTTTTTATTTTTTTAGAGACAGGGTCAACTGTTGATAAGTCCAGGCTGGCCTCAAATTCCTGGGCTCAAGTGATCCTTCTGCCTCAGCCTCTCAAAGAGTCGGGACTACAGGCACACACCATTGCACCTGGCCTTTTTATTTCATACATATATATATATATATATAAAATTCACAACTAATTTTAATGATAATGTAACATGTGCCAGGGTTGGGGATGCAGAAAAGATGAAGACATAGCCCTGCCCTTGAGGTGTGCTTGGTCCACCACCCGGACAGGCTTGTCTCCGGCTCTCAGGATACGTGCTGGACTGGAGGAGCGTACCGAGTGGCGATGGTGTCCCTGGCCTGTGCTGACATGCAGCTGGGGCCCCACCTCCTGTGGCTCCCTTCTCACCCCATCCCCTCCACAAGAGCAGGAAGGGGATGTGCAAATTGGAGAAGACTTCTTGGAGGAGGCAGAGTAGTACAGAAAAAGAAGGGGACTGAAAGCTGATGATGCTGCTGCCACGTCAGCCTCTCTGGCCGCGTGCAGGAACAGCAACTCCAAGAGAGTGAGACGGCCAGCAGCGAGTCACAGGCCACTCTGAGTGTGGAGTCAGGAAGGACAGCAAGACTCTAGGCCCGGTGCTGCCACTAACACCTCGCTCCCCTCTGGAAAGCTGGATGGTGGCAAAAGGCCGCAGCTGGGGCTGGGCGCGGTGGCTCATGCCTATAATCCCAGCACTTTGGGAAGCTGAGGTGAGAGGACTACTTGGGCAACTTGGTGAGACACCACCTCTTCAATAAATCAAAAAATTAGCTGGATGTGGTGATATATGCCTGTAGTTCCAGCCACTTGAAAGGCTGAGGTGGAAGGTTCACCTGAGCCCAGCAGGTCGAGGCTGCTGTGGCTGGGAGCATGCCATTGCACTCCTGCCTGGGCAACAGAGGAGACTCTGACTCCAAAAAAAAAAAGACCGCAGTTGGGCAGCAGATGGGCTGTATTTTACTCCCAGCGAGGGAATAGCTCTGATCAACAGGCAGCTAGTAAAGCCCAGGCCATTTACACCTGGTTTCTTTTGAAAAGGATGAGCACCTGGCAACACGGCAGCCACCTGTCCTGTGAGATAGGGCACGGGCACACCAGCTCCTGTCCCCACGGAGTCCTTCATGGGCTCACACCACCCCCTCAACCCTGAGAAATGGGTGTCCAGATGCCTTAGAGTTCCTTTCCAGAACACACCAGATGGTCTGCAGCATCTCACGCTGTTGTCCCTCCCACACTCCCGGCAAGCTCTTTCTTCAAACCAAGATAATAACAGGGACTAATGACCAGTTTCTCACGGTCTTCTATGGACTGCAGATACTGCTGCTTGCCTTGCTGGGACTCATCCTTCTTCTTCAGGTAAGGCTCGATGGACTTGTACTGGGCATAGAAGTTGCTCAAATCCTGTAGCGAAGAGGAAAAGAGAAGGGTCAGAGTCCATCTCTGACCTCAGCTTCCTAGTGTTTACCCCATTTCTGAACACTGCCTGTTTTTCCACGCAGCCAGACAGCTAGCCTCTTCTCCTTTGGCATGAATATATGTAGATCACAAAGGAGAAATGGTCACAATGTCAAGCACGGCCAGGACCTCTCTCCCTCACCCAGGAAACTTTCCAATTCCACAGTCCTTTCTTCCCTGCCTACCCTTGAAAACACCAAGTCAGCAAAGGTGGTCACATACAGGGAGGTAGAAATTAGAGTAGAACTCATAAACAACTTTTGCTTTCCCAACGGGTATTTTCCACATGAATTCTTTGTAGTTATGGCCAAATTCTTCATTTCTGGTCGCATTCCAACTTGAGAGTTCTATGCCCTGCTATTCCCAAACAAGTCTCACCAAATGAGCTGCTGGAGGATTTTCTGGGCATTTATTTTAATTAAACTAAGGCCACCCTGTCTCAGATCTGGGAATTTTCCTAACCTTCTCAGTGACACTATGGTCTTCTTCTCGCCATCATGTAGGGAGACAGCCCTACCAAACTGTTCCGGCATCTGACTAGCAGAGGAGTTTTAAATACTCAAGAATATACTGACCCAAAGAACTAACAGCACAACATGCATGTGCACTGTCCCCCTGCAAAAAGAAAAACATGCAGAAACTCACAGGCACAAGATCCTTTATCACATACATATGTGGCAGAGGGTAGATTTTTGAGACTTTGTTGAGGTTGGTGTCAATCCTTCGGGTGCAGGCCAGGGTGTTGCCTCCGTTGATGTTCATTGCACAAGAGCCACAGATACCTGAGAGAGACACGCACATGTGACACATCCTTACCCCACTCGGTCAGTCCTGCTCTAGATCCTTCCTCCAGGGTATCCCTTGCCCCACCATCAGGGGTAGCACTGACATGGGGCATGCCACTGCATAGGTGCCTGTGGGATTTTCTCCCTGTCACCCATCTTCCTGCCTAGAACATGGCTCTAAAGACTGGAGTTCCAAAGGCCATTTTGTGATCCTGTGGCAATCCTGAGATTAGATGCCACATGCTAAGGTCAGAGGAGGACAGAGGGCTTGCGTGCTGCTGGTATCATGGGGTTCCCACACCAGGTCTAGTTCCACATGCTACGTGTTTTGAGAGAAAAATCAACCTGCATTTTTTTTAAAGGCTTTTCATTTTCACTGTTACTTGAACTCAAAATTTTTTTTTTTTTTTTTTGAGTCAGAGTCTCACTGTCGCCCAGGTTGGAATGCAGTGGTGCACGTTCATGGCCACTGCAGCCTCGAACTGCTGGGCTCAGATGATCCTTTCACCTTAGCCTTCCAAGTAGCTTGGAACCACAAGCATGTGCCACCATGCCTGGCTGATTATTTATTTATTTATTGTAGAGATGAGTTCTCACCATGTGGCCCAGGCTGGTCTCGAACCCCTGAGCTCAGGCAATTCTTTCACCTCTGCTTCCCAAAGTGCTGGGATTACAAAGGTGAACCACCGTGCCCAGTTTGAACTCAGTTCTAATAGATACAACACCCAAAAGCAAACCAACACTATCCAAGTCATCTTAAGACTGAGGCCTGGATATAGACCATCAAGAGATGGCTCTTCTTCTATGGTCGTCACAAAACAAGCAGCAAAGTGGCTGCCCTGTGGCTAGGAGACCCATATGCTGACTCAGCGGGGCCCTTCCAAAGAAAAAAATGTGAAATGAAAGTAAAGCAGAGCAAACAAAAATAAGGTGCTGACCCAGGACCCGACATGAGAATTTTCTTAGCCTGGACCTAGTTGCTGTATATGCAAATTTCCTAGGCATTTCAGAGTCTAGAAATGACTATGCAGTCCAAATCCCTGCAACTACTTCTTTGAAGCAGTTTTTTGAATATTATCGAGACAGAGAAACATAATTGCTTGTGAAAGCTGCACTGGGTTCTCACTTTTACAGACGGCAATAAAAGAAAATACAAAGATCTGTCTTAAGCAAATACTCCTGAAGTTCCCCCAAGAGACTGAAATCATCAATATGTTTATGCACACCTGGAATCTAACCAGAGCAGTCTGCTTTTATAAGAAACGGCAAGGGTTGGGCTCGGTGGCTCAGCCTGTAATCCCGCGCTTTGGGAGGTCGAGGTGAGTGGATTGCCTGAGCCTGCAGGTTTGAGACCCACCTGGGCAACTTGGCGAGACCTCATCTCTACAATAAATCAAAAAATTAGCCGGGCGTGGTAGTGCACGCCTATAGTTCCAGCTACTTGGAAGGCTGAGGTGG